CATCTGCCATAATGCGGAATTTGTGGCTTCCTTTGAAATTTCATCCACCCAGCCCCGACCCACGTTAAAATAGGGTCAAAAAGGGACAACTGAGGAGTAGACGCAAGACTACGCCAACCCCACTGCAGTCATGACAACCCTAGTGACCTCGTCGAGGAGGATCAGTGACCTCGTGGTCGATAATGTTTGCATTTTTATGTAACGTCAACAACTGGCGTCATGAATTACGCTCTGGTAAAAAGTAACGAGTAAACAGTTCTTCGTAAAGAGGATAATGAAATACCTTCACGTGGAGAAATTTCGACACCCGCGTACATGTTCCTACTGGTATGAAAGGTCTTGGAGATTTGGTACTTTATCCAACGAAACCTACAGTCTTAATCAAAAGGAAGTGCTGGAGACAGGCACTGAGGTGATGAGTCAGGCCCAGGATGTGATGCCTGCAGAAATTGCCTTCTATCACTACTACTCTCACCAACAGAGCTCTCATTTTGTAAACTAGCATACACTACATCGCCGTATTGCATGTCGACAAGATTATTATAAACACATGTTAAAGAGACCTCATGTCAGCTGGGTTAACAAAGGCATCATGAAATTGTAGTTGCGTGGGGAGTCATACCCGGAAAGGGCCTAAAAGGAAGACCATTAAAGTAAGCGAGCCCCTTCACTCCCTCCTCCAAAAGGAGAAGCAACACACTCGAAATACTCAACTCGCATAGCAACGACCAACCTCAATCAACGCAATGATGAACAACAATATGACAGCCCAAGGCAAGAACGAAGAGAAAAGCAAAAAAAGCATAACAAGAAAGGTGTATTTCAATTAAATGCGACCTCATGAGTTCCTTGTATTGCAATTCCTGTTGTGTTGTGGCTGTGCTATGCCCAGTCTCTCGGTCTCCTCAACACGTCCAACAACTCCATTTGCCTTTTATCCTTCGAAGGATCATCACAGTAAACCCATTTCTGGAAAAGTAGAATGCAAAACAAAAAATGCAGTGCACCAGTAAACGAATCCTGTTGCGTCAAACCATGCTTTAACAGTCAATCAAACAGAATCCTCTCTTGACGTGATGAAAAAGTCACGTCTTGTCAAAAAGGGACAAATAACCGACAAAGTGTGTGCGTAAAATGGAGAAAGTGACAGCCTCAAAAATATCTGCCAGCAAAAATCCTTGGATCGTAGTTGTAGCTGATTAACCAAGTGTGGTGAAAAATTCCACCCTCAAATTCTCCCAGAAAGACAATCAAGTGCCCATATTGGATGATGAGGATTTCATCAGCGACGTCTGTATAATTCAATGAAAAAGAAAAAAAGAACGCGTTGCATTGGCGCCCTTGTCCGTCTCAAAAACTTGCATTCAAAGTAGATGTAGAAGTAATAACAAGAGAAGAAATTATGAAATGAAAACTTGGCTCACAGTATGAACAAAAAAGTTGCAAGACAACCTGCCAACTAGTTACACCGAGTAATTTCATGGGTACGTAAACAAAAGACGTGGAGATATTAAGTCGCAAAAACGTTACTTGTCATCGACACGCTAAAATCGGCAGACGGAAATTGTGAAACCGATTTGAATGCGTTGAAGTTGGTGGCGAGGGGGACTTTACGAGAATAGAAAGGCGTCATCTACAAACCGGACTTACAGAAGTAGTACAGTAGTCTAAACAAACTAAGAAGCAACTTTGATGCGAGAAGTCAAGCACCTTTAACTTATTCACAACCACAGACAATGCGAAGTAAAGAAAGAATGAGAAACCTTCAAGATGCATTACTCACAGCGTACAAAGGCATGGAGACAAAGATGCTCTCAATTCTGGCATTCGGTGTGAAGAGACCAAATTTTGTGCCCCGATCGTAGAGCAGATTAAACTCCACATAGCGACCACGACGCAACAGCTGCCACTGTCTGCGAGAGCAAAACAAAGACGTCAGTTGGCCACACTGAAATGTAGTAGTCCAAAGTAGATGAGCTGGATAGGCTTATTGTCCACAGGGCAACTTGTTTGCCCTGTCGACTGGGTCAGGAACGAGAGGGATGACAGTGCTAACCCACCTCTCCTTATCAGTGTAGGGCACAGTCATGCGTTTCACAATGATTGGAAAATAGGATGGTGCCACAGCGACAGCACACTCCTACAATTAAAGACAAAAGATTAGTTGAGAAGGAAAGGGGAATAAATTTAAAACATACCCGAACAAAGGAGAAGACTTCTTCTTGCGATGGGCTATCAAGATCATCAAAAAAGATGCCACCAACACCCCGAGCCTCACCTAAAAAAGATGGAAGTGCAAGCTGTTAGCGATAGAACCCAAAATCTGCATCACCCTCTCCAATGAGATGAATGGCCTGTTTTTGAGCAGCTGCAAAATACTCTTTACTAGTGTGAGGTAATCGCATTTTGATTTGAAATGTGTCAATGCAATAAGCCTAAACATTCAGTCACTTTCAAACAGCGTTGGAAGCAAGAAGCAAGGAAAGTGCAATAATCATCAAAAGCATATAACCTCTATGTTTGATGAAAAAGTACTCATCACACCACTTCTTGAAGTCGTGGTAATAGGAGGGATTGTGAGCATCACAGGCAGCCTTGAGACGGCCATGAAAATGCTTGACATCTTCCTTGTAGAGGAAAGAGGGCGTCAGATCACAGCCCCCACCAAACCACCATATGCTTTGACCCGTCTCCACGTCGGTTACCTCGAAGAAACGGTAGTTGAAATGCATTGTTGGGGCGTGAGGATTGCGCTGTAAGCAAGGAAGAAGAGCGAGAGATTATGAACACCAGGGGAAAAAACGCACTGGGTGATTAACTGAACTGATTCCCACTACTCTAAACCTGTACGAACGTCTGTCGTCCAGCTTCGTCCACCTAAACAAAAGAGAAGAGATTATTGTTTGGAAAATGCCTAGTAAGACCATGCGAAAAGTTTTACTAGTCAGACAATTGAAAGTAGATATGCACACTTAGGGATAAATGACTCTGCTCATTCAGAAGAAACAAAGAAAAGAGTTGCACTTCACATGTGGCCTATGTTTATCACAAGTAGGGCTCGGCAAGAATCTGGAGGATGTCTAGAATGGAGGACGTCTATTTAAACCAAGATACCTTTCTTTCATTTGCTTTAGCATAGAGTCTGAGAGATTGCTAGAAATCACACTGATATTGATAGCAGCTTTTTCGAAGACATCCCCTTCTTGAAGTACACAAGAGATACCGCCACCCTCATCCTGAAAACAATAATGTTTACCAAAATGGAAAAGCAACGGTACGTTTCCACGCATCCATCGGTCAACGAGAAAACGCGCCCTTCCGTCAATAGCCTCCATACATCGACACAAGTGAGACTACAAAAAGAATGTACTTAACAAAAAGTTGCGTTTGCCAGAGCATCGGCTCACCCATCAATCCGAACTTAACTTTTCAGGAAAACGTGCATGACTACCAGCTGACAATTTCATGGAGAACATTTCATCATAAATAAACAGAAGATTGTGTTTTTAAGTGCGATCCATCCTAATTAATTGCACTTACTTGGAGATCCATGCATAGCAGCTCCATCTTGCAACAAGGAACACGTGATTGCTAACGCAAGTTATAATGTAAAATACACGTTAAATACAACTAGGGATTCGATGGGTGTTATTGAATCAGCCATCCATTTCGAAGAATCGTGTTCTACAAGTTCATTTTCAAACGAGATATATTCATTAAATGTTTTGCGCTTGAAGAAGTCATATATGGAACACTTACGTTCACAGCATGTTGGTATAACTTATAAGCAGCATATACGCTAAATCAAGCTTAGAAAGGCTAAAATGCATACAGAGCAGTCCCCAACGCTAGCGGAAGCAAACCTTGACCCATAGTAGAGCAATTAAAGGTAAGGAGCAGAGTGACCACGACGAAATAACAAAATTCGGTGCGGCATAACAAGGCAGATGCAGAAGTGATTATTCGTTAATATAACTGCGTATTTTTCGTAAATCTTTATTAATCATACTTTTGTTTGTT